GAAAGAATTTAAGCAATTTTATTCACTAGTTCCTAATCTGTTATCTGTTTAATTTTTAAAAAATCTTGTAATAATATATTGCTTTTTATCTCCCAATATTGTTTGTTTAAATATGTTAAGCCACCTTAGGTCCCCTCAAGGAGAAAGGTGTGCTATAAATATTTTAAATAGATACACATATCAATCAACTTTCAAACGTTGCCTGTCATTCATATCCTAATGACCAATCACCAAAACCAAACTAAGTTAATTTTCCAGTTGCAGACACATGTTGACAAAAATGCACACAATATGTTGGAACACAAGTAGAACAGTGTTAATACACAAGACTGCATTATGACACAAAATTTAAACCAACTCTGTAATAATTATGTTATGTTAAGCTGTACTATATTATATGAAAGTCACATACACACACATCTGCGTCTGCACATGTGCACAGTCTCACACACAGAGAGAAAACAAACAGACAAACTCAGCTTCATAAGTGGAAGAGCTACAACAGTTTTACTTGTTTTGAAAAAAGTTGTCAGGTGTGTGTTGTATTGTCATTCTCCCATGTGGTCATCTTCATGAAATCATACCTTGTCCCTATTGGCAGATCTGTATTAAAATGTCTTCTTGTTTAGACAATCTGTTAGTTTCCCCTTGAACCTGCTCCTTGATGGAGGATAAATAACAAAAATTCATATGCAGGCCAGCACCTGGTGAAGCTGTCAGCTGTAGTGTTTGTCATATTTCAATCAAAGCTGAAGTCAGCCAGCCATTTTTATACTGCACAGTCCCTACATACTCGAGGACCAGAATTAATGAATTAGCTATTGATTAAATTCCACTCTAGCAAATCCACCGTGGCAAATAAATGAACTACCCGGGGCACATGTAGGCCACAGCCAGACATGTCCGGGCAATCGATCAGTAGTTAGTATTCTTTTGGGATATAAGAACAGCTGATAATAATATGACATGTAAGGGAAGGCAGTGGAGAAAGTCTGTTTCTAGCTGGGCAGATTACAAAATCAGAAAACTATTTCTGATCTCTTTGCATTTGTGTGTCATGACATTTTTAAACTGTGTATAATAACAGAGACATTCAGAACTGCTTACTATACTACAAACAAAGACGTACATCAATGAAAGCCAGAGGGAAATATGGGTTCTAGAATTGAGTTCTTATCTTCAAACAAGTTTTGACTAGGTCTGTTAGTGTTATAGAAAAAATAGCAAGCTTAATTTCACCTTGGCAGTTAGAGTTTGTGAACACAAATAACAGATTTCAGAGAAAATGTACAAAGAGGCTTCTTTGAAATACCACAGGAATAAATCCATTCTCTTGGCCTATTTCTGAAAAGTCAGTTGTCAGATTTTTAGTTATTTAAAACAGATAATTCTCACAATGGCAAGAAACAAGCTAAATGTCTGGCAGAAGCATATTAGACTCCAATCAACAATAACATACATAGAGGAGATTAAAGATTTTATTGCTGCTGTAATTTTGGTAAAATCTTCAAGCATGAGGAAGAGCTGCTGTAGACCAAGGTCAAGAACATCCATACTATGGCATTCATCATGATTATGTATGAATGTAAAAACTGGACAATGGAGAAAGGTGACAGAGGGAAAAATGATTTAATGGCCAATTTTGCTTAGCACAGAAACTGCACTAGAGTAGGCCCATGGAATCAATGAGAATTTAGTGAGTAAATTTCTCTGCAAGTTCCATTTATTCAAAGGGGCCTTAATTTAGTATACCAAAGCATGTTACTTAAGAGTAGGCCCATTTGAATCATTGGAATTTCCAGAAGAACTGACTCACCAGATCAGTGCATCTTCTCTACTATACTATGAAACAGGATTTTGGTCAATAGAAATATGGTGCTGGAAATGAGCTTTATAGGTACTTTCGACCAGCAGAAAGACAAATAAGTGGTGATGGGTCAAATCAATAGAGTTAAAATGATTAAATTGGGGCTATTGTACTCTAGACATATTATTAGAAAACCAGACTCACAGGAAAAGATAATAATGCTGGGAAAAGTTGAAGGCAACATAGAAATGCCATAATAACTGGTAATACGAGGTGCCAGCCATGTGCTCTTAAATTCTAATACCTTGAGCTAAGGACTTGGATCCGTGGTGATGATAACTCTTTGGGCTCATCTTCCACAGTTGTAATTTGGGTTCCATTACTTCTCACACAGGCATATACAGTGCAGACTTCAACCTAGCAAGAAGAGAAAATGCAAGTTTTGGACAGTACAAAAACAGATACTTTCAAGCATTTGAAAACATATGTTTAACAATCTAAATTAACACATAAGTCCAGGTTTGTAGACCACAGATCAGATTATCTTTACTAGAGATGGGTATGAATTGGAAAAATTGTGATCTATTTGGAATTGTGATTTGTCAAGGTCAACGAATCACAAATAACAAATTTACAAAAGAAAATTCTGATGAATCAACAGATTTTCCCTTTAAAACCCTATTAAAAATTCCCCCAGGAAGCTAAAGAAACCAAAATCATAAAGAAACTTTCTTTGACTCTCCTCTTCAACCCCTCCAGGTTTGGTGAAGACATCCAAATTGTACACTGAAATCTTCACCAATCTTAGAGGGAGTGTAGAGGAGAGTCAGAGGAACCCTCTCTGCAATTCTGGTGTCTCTAGGTGCCTGGGGGGAATGTTCCTGGTGGGCCCTCTTTGTGGGTGTATAACTTGGATGCCCAAAACTCAAACTTCACTACACTTGGGGGGATTGTAGAGGACAGCTAGGGGAAGCTTCCCTGCAATTTTGGTGTCTCTAGGTGCCTAGGGGCTATTTTATAGTCCAATAGATCAACAAGTCAGAAATTTGCTAAAAATTCATTGATTCATATTTGTCAGGGGGCATCAATTTGAATGAATATGAATTAATGAATTAACAATTTTGATGAATTTTGCAATTCATTTTTAATTCATGCCCAACTCTAATCTATAGACAACTTCGGCTACACTGAAACAAGAAAAAATGGTACAGAAAGTGCCCCCAAAGGATACTCCTCTTTGAGGGGAAAATGCATTGAATGCATTGAAAAATAAAAATTGCATGCATTAAAAAATGCACAGTAAAATGCATTGAAAAGATAATACAACAACAACAAAAATAAAACTCCAGTTGGTGCAGGAGATTGTTTCCTTGATCCAAGTTTCCTTGATCCTACCATAGTCTCTCGAGACTGAAGGATGCCTAATCTCCAAATTGTAAGAGAGGTCTCAGCTACAAAGCATTTTGCAATCCATGGTCTTTACCAGCAGAGAGAGGACTTTTATGACACTTGTGCAAGAAAACTGCTCTGCCTTGGATTTTAATCTAAGCAGAAGAATTCAGAGTTCTTAATGCTTGTCTCTTTATATAATCTGAAACTCATCTCTAGTCTTTGGAAGTATGTGCTCCTCTCACCTTTCTAAAGATTTTATTTTGCATTATTTTATGTAGGGAGTGGCTCCGAAAAGTGCTTTCTATGATTCCTCATTTGAATCTTACTAAATCTCTGTATTCAGGAACTTCATTGAACTCAACTGGTTTTATATATAGTATGGGTTCACATAGAAGATCACTTGAGAACCCTTCACTTGCAGTGGGGGTGATGGCCATGGATGATGATGGTGGTGATTAAGTTTGAGATTTTCTACTGTTTTGACTTAGACTTCTGATGCTTACTACATGGCCTTAAACAAGTTGTCACAGGAAAGATCAAATGATTCTCAATTCCAATGTGTCCTTCTTCTTCCTTTTTTACACCCTTGCAATGGAATTTACAGGTGTCAGAACCAGGACAAATTCCCCAGTTGAGCAGAAGAAGCAAATACTCCTGTTCCACAGCACATTTAGGAAATCATACAGGACAAAATCTGATCCTTTCTCGTTTATCTCATAAGATTATTGTGAGCATAAAATGAGATAAGCCCACACATGCTTCATTAATAATAGTAATGATTATTCTTGGAACAAAAAACTGTTGCAGCTGATGATGTCATCAGCCTTACATGGCATAAGTTGTGCAGCTGGGCTTCAGCCATTATTTCACAGGTCTACTTCATTAGGGAAGACTATGGATTATTCAGCCATGTTACTCAAAAATTAAAGGACTTTAAGAAGCATACGGGCAAACATGGAGGAAATTGCCCAACAACATCTAAAGTTTGAAAGTGAGAGCTCCGTTAATTTAGAGTTGCAAAAACAATAAAAAGTTCTGAAACATTTTAAAGATTAAAATTTGATAGTCTTTAAGACCCCAGAGGATTCTTTGGCCAAAATTCAGATGAGAAAAATATTATGTATATGCAGCAATTGTATAGCCAGCTTTAATCCTCCAGAAGGCTATCCCTTATTCAATCAGACATATACCTAATTTCTATGCCCATTTTTCCAGCTAGATAAAAATCTCACCCTGTATTAGGAGGTGGGTGCTTATGTGTTGTTCTTATGAAAAAATATTGGCTAATAGGAGGGAGACCCGGATGGATCCTTCTTGAAGAATGTGAGGACTGTGAACACAATTCAGCATCCTCTGGGCAAGGACAGCACCCTGCCAGCTGATGCGCATCCTCTGGGCAAGGACAGCACCCTGCCGGCTGACACTTCCACTCCAGAAGCACCATTGGATTGTTTCTGACACAAAGGAGGAAGAGGAGCACATCCTCTGGGCAAGGACAGCACCCTGCCGGCTGACACTTCCACTCCAGAAGCACCATTGGATTGCTTCTGACACAAAGGAGGAAGAGGAGCGGCAGCAATATCAGCAGCTAATAGGATTCTGGCATTTGTTGCTTTTCCTAATATTTTTATCATGTTTCCTGAATATATTTGTGCATACCACTGCACAACACTATAATGGAAAAATAATCACTGCTTATTCCTCAAATAAATAGATAGATAGTAACATAGATTTGCAGTTCCCTGGACTGCAAGGAGAACAAACCTATCCATTCTAAAAGAAATCAACCCTGAGTGCTCACTGGAAGGACAGATCCTGAAGCTGTGGCTCCAATACTTTGGCCGTCTCATGAGAAGAGAAGACTCCCTGAAAAAGACCCTGATGTTAGGAAAGTGTGAAGGCAAGAGGAGAAGGGGACGACAGAGGATGAGATGGATGGACAGCGTCATCAAAGCTACCAACATGAATTTGACCTAACTCTGGGAGGCAGTGGAAGACAGGAGGGCCTAGCATGCTCTGGTTCATGGGGTCACGAAGAGTCGGACATGACTAAATGACTAAACAACAACAACATACATTTAGATGCCTCCACCTTCCATTGAGTACACACCCTAAAATTGAATGTTTACAGCCAACCTCTACCAAAGAACCAGATCTTCTCAGACCCATTAGACAGACACCCAACTCAAGGATTTAAGTAAGTTGAACCCCCATATGGCAAAGAGGAGGAGCATCAACAGGGCTAGTTTGATAACCAAGAGCAGTTTTCTACCAGATAGACTCAGGACACATCAAAACTACACAAATGTAATGCCAACAGTATAGACATTAAGCTCTCTCATCCTTTGGGTGGAATCACGGGTCTCTCATCAAGGGTCAAACTATCAAGTCTGAAAACTCCATTCAACAGCAAACTGCTGAATTCATCTAGAATTTCAGCAATAATACCAATAGTGTGAATTGTGACAAAGGCATTTCATCTGATTACATGCTAACCATCTCAGGTTTGTTTGTGACTTATAAGCAATATTTGCATTTCTATCTCCTGTTTTGCCTGGAATCATTGCATTTTTATTCCCCCAGCATTGCTCAGAGGTTGCTCCTTCATACTTGTATAATCTGCTGACCTACACTGGAATATCCTTGTGACTTGTTGTGATCATTTCAGATGACGAATTGCTGATACTTCTTGCATTTCCTTTCCCTTTTGTTCCTCCTTACCCAGTGTGTGTACATATATCTGCCAGCTGAGACTGTATACCAGACATCTGAAGATGGTAGTTGTAGTCCATGAAAGCTTATGCCCAATAAAACATGTTGGTCTTAAAGGTCCCATAAGGCACTGTACAATTTTTGCTACAAAATCAAAATATGTTGGACATGATCCAAGTCCTCTTCCTCCCTTATGTATGGGGGAGGGAGTTCCATTCCGTTCTATGAAGGGAATACTCCTATAATCCATGGGTGGAGAACATTTCCCAATTTAACGGCCACAGAGGTGTCAAGCCAGGCACATCCACTGGTGATTACATGTGGAACCAATATGTTTGTCTAGATAACGCCATTCACACTCTCACATACTCTTATACCCATTTGGAAAGTCTACCCTTTTGACCACAATGCCCACAATTCCCAGCCACTCTGGAAGTTAGGTGCCAAAAAGAAAGTGTTTCCTTCTCACAGTGCAATGAGCCTTCTAAAAAGCTTACAATTGTGAAAAAGAAGGCTTTTAAATAGTCCAGTTTCGCTGTCAGAGATATATTCCTGAGGGAGGATGTAGGATTGGGAAGGGACATATCACTCCTTCCTTTCTCAGGAGTATTTCCCCTTAAAAGGCAGCATACACTTCAATTAGACTTTAAAAGGCCTACCCTTGAGGTTTAATAAAACCTCATGGTAGCAAGCGAAGGATGAAGGAAGGAACATCTTTTATCTGAGAATCCTACAAGATACACACCTCCAGTAGAAGAGATTTTCAACATGAAGCTGACAGGCTGGAAAGGGATCTCCTGAGGGCACTACCTGACATGAGGACTGAACTGGACATTTTCAACCATTGTATAATCAGACAACCACTTTTGCTCTTCAGTAGGCCTGAAACATTTTTTTGTGTCCATCAAAGTGAGCAGGCATGTATTTTGAGCATGCAATAAACAATAGCCATTAGGAAGCTTCTTCCAAATGAATAGACATACGGTTTGAGGTAGCTTCAGTTTTTTTCTGTATCTCCCAAATTCCTTTGTTTTTGTTTTTAATTTTAAAAATAGGAATAATCGTTGCCCCACCAGTGAGATCTCTTCGCCGCACGAAGCTCTTTGCCGCACCCTCCAGAGTAGCGCGAGATAGCTGGGCAGTGCAAGCGCTCTGGGAGGGTGGGGGCAGGATGGAGTTTGTTTTTAAGGAAAGCCCTGCCCCCGGTTTGGCCTCTTTCGAGGCTCTCAGCCCAAACTCCCACCTAGTTTTCAATGTGAGTTTACTGGTGGCCATTTGGGATTGGATAGGAATTTTTGACCCAATACTTGATTGGCTGTTAGTCACGGGGATTTTTCGCCTATCCCACACTGATCAAGGTGAGGCCGTTTATGGGTGTTGTTGGCAAGTTCAGTGACGCTGGCGGGTAGTGCAGAAGGAAGTTGGATCAGTGAGTCCTAGTAAGAGCACAGTAAGGTTATAGCTCACCCAACCTCCCAGCCCTGCGGAACGTGAGACTACAGCGAGCAGGGGGGGAGGATGCGCTGGGGCCTCACACGGACCAAGGGCCACCAAATGTATGGGGCTTGAGGCCCGGGTGAGGTCAATGCCAAGCCAGCCAGGGTTGCGCTGTCTAGGGGACAGTGCAGGCTCAAGGCAGAGGAATCACCCATATTGGCACAGGGTCCAGTGAGACACAGTTATTCCTTTCTGCACTACAGCAGTCCCCTCTTCTTTGTTATACTGTAGTTCAATAAAGCGTGGCCCTGGTTTAACCCAACTCTTTGTCTCACATCATTATTCCGGATGGGGTGGCAATTAGCTTTCACAGTGACACATTAATGTTTGATGAAGCCTGAAAATGAAAGACAAAACATGACTCTGTTGTTTCTTAGGAGTACTTTAAATAGATCTCAAGGAAGACTAACAATGTCACCTTTGCATTTGCAACAAAGAGGCCATTCAATACACTAGTGTACAAGTTGACAAATGTCTACACAGGATGAAAAAAAAGGAACATGGACACAAAGGTATAGTTTTAGGAAGCTGATGATTCAAGAAAGAATGTAGTATGAATGCTAAAAAATTAAGAGAAACAAATCTTACCATTTTACCTCATTTCCAAAAATGTTGCTACTACTACTACTACTAATAAAGGAGAAACTGAAGACCAAACGGATTAATCTTGCAGGACACATACCCTGCCTATGGTAAATGAATATGGAGCCCCAAAGTAAGAAAGCATTTGGAATTTGCATTACTGTTGAGGAAAGACAAATGTGTGTCCAGATAGAAACTAGAAAGTCATACGTGTATTCATCGAGACTGGGGGTTGCTGCTGCTCAGGGGCTGGAACACCGAAATCAGTTATGGCGTGCCTCCAGGTGACGTTTATTTATGGCACGTTGCAACTGGATGCAAATTTTAGGACAAAGTATACGTGATTACTGTCACAATCTCCCCATTTATAATTCAAAGTAAGCAAGTCTGAGTGAGACAAACAAAATGGGAAATTTGCAATTAAACCTTCATACCCTTCAAAGGAAGGAAAGAAGGAAGGAAGGAAGAAAGGAAGGAAGGAAGGAAGGAAGGAAGGAAGGAAGGAAGGAAGGAAGAACGAACGAACGAACGAACAAAAGAAAGAAAGAAAGAAAGAAAGAAAGAAAGAAAGAAAGAAAGAAAGAAAGAAAGAAAGAAAGAGTTATGGTGAAACTATTTATAGCTTTTTCCTTAATCATAAGCTAACACAAAATGATTTTGGGGAAGCCTAAAGGGAAGGAAATATGGGGGGGAGGTAAGGGAAAAGAAAGGTTTTAAATATTAATAGTATTTTTAAAAGACTAGGATTCTCTTGGCTGAGATCAGCCTGTTTCACAAAGAGAAGGGAAAGAGGGAGATGATAAAAGGCTAACAAATGCAGTATCATTATTTCTCTCGGTTGATGTATTATGCATGCCTGATGTTTCTAAAACAATTGCAATTTTGTTTTAATGAGTAGGAGTAGGGTATTTGTTTCTTTGTAATATGTATTGTAAGTTCAATACCACAGACTCAGAGGGAATGTAGTTTTGATGTCCTTAAAAGAGAAAAATGCATTGAATACATCGTGCATATATGTATAAAATCATTCATAGGGTCAGAAATAAATACTGCTTGTGGATCCATTGCATGTATATACACAATATTTAAAGATATCAGTATGGTTGCATCTGTGTCTATACAGAATCTCTGAAATTTTTTGGAAAGGACAAATCAGTCTATTTCTGGTCCATACCAATTTTGCATATATTCACATATTTGGGTGTGATGACATCTTTTAACCTGCACAAACCTTTGTCTTAAACATATATCTTCCAACAGATATTCTCAGAAAATACACATATATAAATGAATGTATTCATAAAATACACATTTTAAACATATGCTAGTACAATTTAGAGACAAGATCTGCATCACAAAAATTGAGGAAACATTAAATCCAAAGGATATTTTGTTCCAAGCAAAACATCAATCAGGATAATGCAGATTAGATCAATTTGAATCAGAATTTGCAGATATATCTGGACATTGTTCTGAAAAATCATTTCAAGGAATGCTTATGTGTATATTCGTGTGCATGCACTGACACATGTATGCATACAGATAGACACATACAAAGTTATGTATGCAGATTGTTGTAAAGTGTCGTTGCAACTTCTTCTTCCCCTCAATGAAAAGGATTATCTCAACACATTGAAACACCTCATCAAAAATAAGGTCCACAACTTTTACAATCAGCATTTTTACTAGCCCTTTTACAATCAGCACTGCCATTAACGAAAGAGAACCTTGTGTTTTGTATAAAACCCTTCCATTTTGCACAATAAACAAAAGACAAGGTTGTTAGGGTTGGTTTTTGTTGTTGCTGCAAAGGTAAGGTTTTTACATCAGATAAATGGTTTCTCTTTAAAAAAATATCCGTATAACATTTTTGAAATAAAATGATGAAATGTGAAAAACACAGAAAAAGTTTCATAATCACAGGGGAGAAAACTCCTAAATTTTTGTATTTTATTCTGTTAGAATGAAATAAGCAAAGCTGCATATCCCTAGATGTGTGCTAACCTCTATAGATCCACGTATATAGTGATGTGATATATCCCCATGTTCAGAGGTACATAATGGGTTGAAGAAGAAGAAAGCTTGTTCTCTAACCTTTATATCATAAATAGTGTATGGCGACAAATCTGCTAAAAGAAAGGACCCGGGTGTCTTCATTCCAGTCTCGTATCGCTTATTATTTACATAGACAGAATACTCTGTGACAACACCATTTGGGTTTGAAGGCGATGTCCAGATGACACGTACAGCTGTACTGTTGATGATGAGAACCTCTGGAGGGAACATGCCCTCCGGCTCTAGAAACAAAGGAAGAAACTGAATAAACTCCAGCTGTCTCTGTAAAAGCACTTGTTTAACCAAATGAAGATTAGAATGTGAGTTTCGCAAAGAGTCTGCTGCTTATCTATTTGCCTCTGATGAAGTTATCACTGTCTGCATTTTGTCTTTAAATTGGCTTATTATAATCTCAGTTAGAAACAGTGGGAGACGATGGTAAAGCGCTTTATACCATCAGCATCACTTGCATCTTTAGTCAAAATGTGACCAGTGGGATACAGTGATAAATTATTCCCCCTAACCATGTGGCCCCATCCACAATTATTTGGTATGGCCTCATACTTCACCCTTCCCACCCGTGCCAGCCTGCACCTCATGGCAATTTTGCATCAAACTCAAAACCTAAAATGCACTCTGTGGTGAAATGTGTCACCTCCACAGCTCTTAGCAGCCCTGTAACTTGAGCAATGTGAAGCAATGCACATTACTGTTATTATGTAAATGGCCCTGAATGTTGATTACCACAGATAATGATGAAGCCTTACATTTATTTTTTTTAATTTTTTTTAAAAGAAATCTTCCTTAGCATTAAATTACACAAATTATTTAGGCATGTCAGAAATAGCTATGCAAGGGGACCTATTTTTGTCTGGTATGTTCATCCTAACCAGTTGAAAAATTGTGCTGGCAAGGAGCTTTCTTTTATAAACAAAAGGGGGCTGACCTCTGGCATTGCCAAGGAAATGCAATCCCCACTTAAAGTGCTTTGCTAATGACCTGGAACACTTGCTTCTGAGGTAATGATATTATAATGTTTATAATGAGACTTTATAAAGCCAAAAAGATTAGAAAGGCCATTCCAAACACATTTCAGATTCACAAGTTGCTCTCTTTCTTCCATCCCTCCCTGCCTAGTTCCCCTCCCTCCTGGATTCCACCCCCTTCACCTCCTTTGCTAACCAGTCTGGCAAGGAGTCAGAGGGAATTTCTCCCAGATTTATGCCCTCCATTTTGGGTGGCTCAGGAATGGTCCAGCAGCTGACTGTCATGTCAAAAGCAAGCTGCTTCACAAAGCAAATCTTATAAAAACACACACACACACACCAAAACAACATTAATTGTTTTTTTTAAATCCCCCCATTTGTTGACATGAACTCAGCTCCAAACTGAGTATGTGGGTAGTGGTAAACAGGGCAGGATGAGAACAAAGTGGGTTAATATCCGCTATTAGAGCTTTATGCTGCTGTCTCAATGGGACCTTTTATTGATCGGCCACTTGATGACAACCAGCACTTAAGCATTTTAGCGTTTTAGTCCCTTTTCTCTTTTATACCGGAAATTTCATAATGGAAGGATGACTGATCTCAACCCTAACAAAAATCAATCAACTTCATTCGCAGATTTTTAAGCCAGGCTGCATTCAGTACTAAACCTACCTCCGTCTGATGTAGTCACTTCCACTGCCTCACTTGCGACACTGTGAACCCCATTGAAAACATGAAGCAAAATTCGATACTCCGTGTTAGGATGCAGTTCGCCGATGACTGCATGGTTTTCACCGGCAGGGAACTTCCTGGATTTGTTATGGAAAGTGTCATTCCAAGACAGAAGGTAATATTCAACAGTTCCTTGTAAATCCTGTAGGGCTACAAAAATAATTGAAAGGGAAAAAAAACCCTGAAATATTAAGAAATGAAATACAATGGAAATGAAAGGAGAAACAATAATGTTCATGAAGATTCTGGAATTCAGGTGATGATCACAGAAATATGACTCCAGCTTAATTAAATGGATCATATTGAAGTTATTTCACGAAATATGTTTATACTCTATATGTGTTTGTTTGTTTATTTAATTTACATGCTGACTTTCCCCCCTTGAACTTCAAAGGAAGTGTATAATAGCATAAAATAATCCAGTAGATTTTCTTATATTATTTCTGATATTTTTAAAAAATCCTTAGTCTTAAATGGTAAAGACTACCCCTGTTTCCTACTCTGCACTTTCTGAATAGGGCCAGAATAAAATCTTGACTCTCATTTATCGAAAATAAATTAATGGTATATGGTATACATGCAATAAATAGATAATGTCACTGGGGAAAACATTATGTGATCATTTAGCCTTATTTCTAGGGATAGTGCAATGGAAAAACAAAATACTGTACATGCCATAGTGTACCTTTATCTCAGAACATACATACCTAACAAGTACCTAAGTCATGTTTGGTATTGTCAGTGCTAAACATATTAGCACAGTGATTAGATCATCCATACTACATGTGTGATCCCACGTCACAGTGGGAACTACCTTGCATACTGGGTGCAAGCATTGAAGATACATTTACCATCTCACAGGAGCGATTGTCGTAAACATGTTGTTCCAATGAGCTGGAACAGAGCAAGATTTCATAGTAATGATCCATTAAAAAGGAAGCTTCAACTATTGCCAAAAATAATAGAAATTCTTATTTGAGGGGGGTGAGGACAGTGCCAGTGACACAAGTGCCCCCGACCGTGGACTGTCTCACCTCACCCAGGACCTGTTATGTTCCAGATGTTTGAACACAAATAGGTAAAGGTAAAGGTTCCCCTTGACAATTTTTGTCCAGTCATGTTCGACTCTAGGGGGCGGTGCTCATCCCCGTTTCCAAGCCATAGAGCCAGCGTTTGTCCAAAGACAATCTTCCATGGTCACATGGCCAGTGCGACTTAGACACAGAACGCTGTTACCTTCCCACCGAAGTGGTCCCTATTTATCTACTTACATTTGCATGCTTTCGAACCGCTAGGTTGGCGGGAGCTGGGACAAGCGATGGGAGCTCACTCCATCGCGTGGATTCGATCTTACGACTGCTGGTCTTCTGACCCTGCAGCACAGGCTTCTGTGGTTTAGCCTGCAGCGCCACCACGTCCCCACCTGAACACAGATAAGTGACCCCTAAAGGGGGAAGGGGGCCCTTGGGAACTAGGCAATATAAGGGAGACGCTATATAAGGGAGCCCCAGCTGGAAAAGGAAACAAGAAGGGGGAGAAGTGGGTGCAGATGAGCGACCTGCTCCCAGATGTACTAATTGAGAAGGAGTTGGAGGAGAAGGAGGAGGCTTCCTTGAGGGACATCTAAGAGAATCTGGTTATAGGCTTCCACATGGAAGAGGATTCCCCAGAAGAACTGGAGATGCCCATATACAGAGATCATCCCTGGACAAGGGTGCTAGTCCAATTTAAAATGCCTAAACGTCAGGTGGAAAGACACAACAATCCCAAGCATCCCCCTAGTCCTTCTTACTTGGAAGAACAATAAAGGAACGAGCAACAATGGCACATCAGGCAACCTAGTCCTGGGTTGAAATGCTGGTGGAGACAGCAACCGCAGACACACCAAAGCCAGGATTCCATGACCAGGGAGGAGACATGGGTGAAAGATTGGCATCATTGCCCTTGGTGTGGACATATCAACTCTCCTTGCTCCAGGCCCCACACCTTAGGCAGCCACCCCCCACAGGCAGCCACTCCTACAGCCTACACCCACACCCCTTTCCTTTCCCTACCTTAGCCCCCACCTCACTCCCACCGACACCCCCTTACCTAAATAGCTGCTGCCAAGGTCTCCATCAGGCCTTCACAGCCACGGTGTGTAGGGAATGAACTAAGGAGCCTAACGTACGGAAAGGAATGGGGTGGGGTAGGCTGTTTTACTGGGTGGCTGTGTGGGTGGTGGCTGCCTTTCTGCCGCCAATCAGTTGATTGGCAGTCGGTAGGCGGAATGGTTTTGGGTTTCTTTAATATGAAGGATGTATAAAATGGGTAAATATTCATCCCTTCACATCTGTGGAGGGTCTCTGGAACCCACAAATACGGATTGACGAATAATTAACAAATCAACTACATTCGTCGGAAAAAACATCACAGCAAGTGAAACTTTGTGGACCATAGATTACAGGGCCAATCCTAGTCCTGTTTGGATGAAACATATCATAGCATGAACAGCAGGAGTAAGGTGATACTCTCCTTATCCCTCAAAGATATGAATACAGCCTATGAACACACAGTGTGCACCTAAGCAGGCTTTCTCTGTGACATTAGAGAACTGAGAAATGTAGGTTAGAAATGGGGGTATTTGTATTCGTATACAAATCCCCCCACACAGGTGGACATAATGAGGGTCCAGCCTCATGGGGCCAGACGATCCACTCACCATTCCGCTCAAATACCCCCACAGAGGTGGACATAATGATGGTCCAGCCTCATGGAGCCAGACGATCCACTCACCGTGCCGCTGCTGTCACAACCTCCGCAGAGCGTTCTAATGACTCTGGAGATCGTGATTGGTTCAGACCCTTGTTATATCCACCTGTGTGGGGGTATTCATATATGAATACCCCGATCTCTAATGTAGGTCCCATGATTGTACATAGAGATCATATGATACAGAAGTTGTATATTTGCAGGTTGATCAGACTTTCAAGTCAATTGTAGGCACAAATGCCCACATATGTAATCTAAACAGCATGTCTCTTTCCATTTTACCCCTTTCTGTAGTGAAATTAGCAGAATTTATATTTCCCAAACTTTTGCAATTCACTACAGCACAGAGGCTCAAAAGAAAGTCACTTTTGAATCATCATGGGTTGACAGGGAGGGAGAATTTATATGCTTGTGCCAAAATAAAAACATTTCGAAGAAAGTAAATTGCTTAGTTTGCTGTGTGTAATGCATTTCAGCAAAGAAAGAATGAACGAGGGTTTGCTCTAATGACCCTCACTTGATGTTTAACCTTTGCATTCATAAACAGATATCTAGGAAATTTCTGCAGTAAGAATGAAAATGAAGCCAGATTGCATTACCTCTATATAGAAGGTCAGAGGTTCAGATTACTAAAGTAATGAAACTTCAGCAGCCTGCTTCAGATCTATTAGGTTTGTCAGTTTTTATAAGCATGCTTACTTCAGGCATCCAATTATAAAATAAAGAGACTCTACATGCTGAGAGTCACTAGCAAGTCCTTACAGACAGATTTGCATGTACATATTGAAGAATTAACCCACTACTTTGATGGACAGGTAATCTGGATTAAATAGGTATGTTCCTTTTAAAATGACACAGCACAAAGGTGTACAGAAAACCTGTAGCTCTCCTGGAAACGAAGAAGAGCTTGAACACAAATGCAGGCTTTTTAATGAGCTTTTATGACAACCTCCAACAGCTTTAACTCTGCCGTGTTTTGTCTTGAATTTCTCATATGCTTGCATTAGAGCTGCTTGAAAAGCATTTGGAACTGCAGATACTGAATTCTTCCACTGTCTTTTATAATCTATATTATGGATGTGTATCTCAAAGCCTCTCACTCCCAGTCAGAAAATCAGGTGACCCTCTTTTCATCTTACACTGAAATTTCTCTGCATTTTAAAAAAAGCTAAAACAACCACATGGGATTTCTTGGCTGTTTTGTCATCTTTTTCATCTGGAAGCCAATCTGAGCAGAGACAACTTCTCAGATAATTTCTGTGCAAAGTGGCAAATTCCCTGAGAGAGATTC